ATTCTCCTCCAATTTATAGAAAAGGATGTCCCAACTGTTTTATGTCAGCTTTGCTATTAAATAAATGCAGACTGATGTTTTATGCATCCAGCAGAACTTTAAACATGCTCAGAGCTGGCAGCAGGATTTAAAGTAGCCCAGGGGCGCCAGGGTGGCTCTGTGGGTTGAGCGGTTGACTCAGGTTATGATCTCACGGTTTGTGAGATCAAGCCCTGAATTGGGCTCTGCGCTGACAGTGTGGATTCTGCTTTGGATTCTCTCTCTCGAAATTAAAAAAAAAAAAAAAAAAAGGACTTGCTTACTCACCAGATCAGATTGGACACTTTACCTACGACATGTAACAGGCTTGGTGACCCTGAAAACGTTCCCAATTGGGTGAGGGAGAAAGGCTCTTCTAGAAAATTGTTTCTGAAAAATTCTCTTACGGGGCAGGGTCTGCAAAAATTACAAGTTGTAAATGATGCTTAGGCTTAGGCCAAAGCTCTGTGTCTACTGAGAGCTCAGAAAGAACGAATGAGGAACGAGAACAGGAGTGGTGGTTTACGTGACAGAGGAGCCAACAAATCACAGGCCACAGCCACTATCTACAAAGGCAACAAAGTCAAGACTAGGTCCTTAGAGCTTTGTGAAGGGTTAGTAAAGACGTTTTAGACTGGACGAGACAAATTGTCAGTCTAGGCCTGAGGAAAGTGGTCCCTACAAGGGTTTGTGCCCATGGTCCACAGGGGTTATCAAATCACATACGCACACTCATCAAGGTCTGTGTGTGATCTGTGTGCCAAGGAACATTATCAGGGTCACAAAAGGAACATTATCAGGGTCACAAAAATCATACTTAAGGGTTTCTATTTGTTAAAAGTATATGTTTAATGTTTATTTATTCATTTTTGATGGGGAGCACAAGCAGGGGAGGGGCAGAGACAGAGGGAGACAGAGGATATGAAGTGGGCTCTGTGCTGATAGCAGCAAGCCTGATGCGGGACTCAAACTCACAAATCCCGAGATCATGACCTGAGCCAAAGTCTGACGCTCACCTAACTGAGCCACCCAGGAACCCCTTAAGGGTTTCTTTTTAGTTGAATCTTTTACCAGTTACTGTAAAGTTCAATCAACTTTGTAAAACCTGGGGACCTGTGGGGGAGCATCCTACTTTGCAATATGAGGAACTTAACCGAGGCACTACCGACCTGGTAACAACAGACTAAAATGCCATGTGGATCCCAGCTTGTGGGCCAGCTTCGCTGAGATGAATAATCTTTCAAATCTGAATCTCTTAGCAAGTTGAGGAAGTGGCAACCAATGTCTATATATGAGATATGCTGTGGGGCTCCTCAAATAAGGAACTCTCCAGGCTCCTATGCTTATTTGTGGAACAATTATTTAATAGAGATGGGCTGAAAAATAGAAAAACCAAGAGTGGATGAGTACTACTCTGAAACAAAGACAAAGCATCGCTTAGATGCGTAAGCGTGGTTGAAGTTGATGGGCACAAGAAATCGAATTTTTACACTATATTGAAAAAAAAAGGCACTTGAACATGGCTTTGGAGCACAGTGATGAAATTATTCAGATAAGGCCGTGTTTAAAACAATTTTTGTAATACTGTCACGAAAGATCAGAAAGTCTGCCAACTGCTGCTCATCTTGCATTCCAACCCAAACGCCTTCCCACTCCAAGCTGAGGACAGGGGTTTGGTTACCATGTCTGTCTGAGGAAGAGATCTGTTGTGGTTTTAAAGTGTCTTTATAAAGAACACAGAAAAGCATGACCTTTGTGCCAGCATTAACCTCAACTTTAACATATAATTCTGTGAAATTTTTGTACCTAGTGTTTTACTTATTGCTGCACATGAAATAAGTTTCACTTGTGCCTTCAAAGTGGTGCAAGCATGTAATTTAAAAACACAAGGCATCATATACAGTAAACATTGCTGTAGGCTTTCTTCTACAAAACTGGCCCGTTTGTTGAAGAGCTTTTAGTGCCTACTCGTTTAGTTTTTATACAGTCCAGTTTCATAGGGCTGTACTAACCATATTCAATTTGTTATGCTAGACTTATTTTTTGCTGACAATTTTCAGTGGCAGGGATCCCATTCAGAGGACCTTTTTTCTCCAACCACCTCCCCTCGCCCTTAAATAGATAATGGGACACAATTTTCTGTTACTTCGATTAGTGTAATATTGGATCTGCTATCCTAAGCTACATTTCTTTGGGGACCAAAGGGAGAAGGGGTTTCTTTTATATTATCTGAGTCTAATAAATGGAGTAAGAATGGACTACTCTGTTAAATAACAAATCTGGGTTCCAAATTTCTTTTAAATAACAATACAATTTAGATACAAATTTATATACTTCACTAGAGATATTGTATACAATATATTGTATCTTATGACTGCAGCTATAAAAGCACAGGTATTTCTATTTGTTCAAAATAGCTGAAATATTTTAGGAAACGGAATGGATGAAAAACAATCTGAGGAAGTCATGAGGTAGATTCTACATTTCAGTCAGATCCCAAATTCCGTTGCTCTCCGTGATGATATATACAGGAGTGTGAGGTCTGATAATATCCTACACACAATTACGGCTTAGAGGGAGTTACTTTGGGATTCTTAAACATACATTGTATTCTATAATTCACACAAAATAGAAACAAATATAGTTTCGAACATTCTCTGAAGGTCGTCTTCTTCACTATACATTTTTTCTTGGGTTCTTTAGGGTCATGACATTGAACTCCTTCTAGAACACTTTCAGCAGAAATAAATTTCCAAGCAGGAAGTAAAGAGAGGCATTATCAGAGCACTTCAAACTTATACCCTAGACACCCAAAACTCAACAAAAACCTCACAAAGCTCAGGATCTGGTCCTTAGAAATTTGAAGGTGTCATAATACAATGATATAGCGATTTGGTCTCCTCTACATCAAAATCTTTGTAATTATTTTTATTCAATAAATCCAATAATATGTTAACTCAGAAACTAAAGAAAAAGGACACAAGAATTTGAAGGGCTTAAATATATTTTTTATATTGATAGTCTGTGTCTTTCTACCCTAAAATACATTATTATTGATTACATACAGGATGAGGTGAGGTATTTGTAAAATATCTGGTAAAAAATAATTCATATACAGTATTCTACATGAGATGGAATCTTAGGAACCTTTAGGTCTTCTGAAGTGTTCAATTGATCGTCTAGATTAAACTGCCCTGAAATGGATTTAAAGTTGTTCCCTCAAACCATGTCAAAAAAAGGAAGGCTCTTACATTTTCCCAGAATTTGTGCAGGAGAGGGAAAGCACATAATTGGCAATTTCTACTTCTCACATCCACAGTAATGCATTCACACAAAATCAGGACCTCCACATTTAGCATAAGAAGAAAAAAAAAATCCTAGATCAGAGATATAATGATATCTGTGAATAATGAATGGTTAGGCTAATTCACCAACAGCAAAGAAATTCAAGTGGTCAACAGTCTTGAAAATGCTTTATTGAAATGTGTGACTTAATGTGCAGAAGATGTGTTTGAAAAGACCACAGCTTGGAAACTGGTTTTTGAAATGTCTCAACAACCAATTGAAAAAAAGGAAAAAAAAAAAAAAGAAAGAAAGAAAGAAAGAAAAGGAGGAGGAAAAGAAAATCCCTACTGGGCTGGACTTCTAGTATAACCAGAAGCCTGGTGTAAAATTTTCCTTTAAAACATTTTCCATCACAGAAACTAAAGAAAACAAAGCTATCATATTTGGAAATTGTTGGGAGTCTGAAGTTTCAGAGGAGGAGAAGCAACAGTTTTTAGACATGTGGGGTGACTTCTTTTTTGGTTACATTTGGACGAACATGGACTTCACAGTTCTCGGAAGAACACCGAGGGTGTTCAAGTCTGTATGCTTGTCATGTTGAAGTAACGGAGAGACACAGACGGGAAAGGAAAAGGACGACAGGAGAAAGAGAGGACACTGGAGGAAGGAGCTGGAACAAGACATGATTAGGTTAAATCTAGTTATAAATTTATCAGAAGCTGTGCGCACCTTTTTTAAAAGTCCTAAATTTACATTCCAAAAACTGCCCCCCGACCCCCAAACCCGCTGTCCCTGCCTTGGAGCTATTGTGAAAGTCTATGCACAAAAACTGAAACAGGAAATAAAAAATATCCCAGCCCCTCCAAACCCCAAAACAAACCCCAAAAAGCTGTACATTTTTTTTTTACACATAGGATTAATAATATAGGCATATAGGTGGCATGATTCAATTAAAAGGCTTTACTTTTTATGCCAGAAAAAAACCCAATAAATAAAAGGTGCTAGAGTTAGCATTAAGAATTTGGTTGTGATATACTGACAAAATCTGGGAAGGCAAATCCTCAAAGCTCCCCTGATCTGATCTGTCTCGGCAAACTACGAAGCAAGTACATAAATAACGCAAAGTATGATTGAGAATGTGAGATTTTCAAAAACAAAGACAACATAATTCAGGTTAACTTTGTTGAACAGTGAATAAATGAAATTCATCCACACCTGAATAAAACATATTTAACAATTGAAAAAAATTTTAAACAACCACAAAAAGTAAAAACTTCAAACAAACATGAACAGGATTCGTTTTTAGGGCGCACAAACGCCCCTGCAGCAGATTCCGACAGTAGCTTTACTGGTGCGTCTTCTAGAGAGGAGTTAGAGAGACAGGCGGAGCCCCGCACGGGTGAGAGGACCCACAGGGCGGCAGGACAGTCACACAGGGCGGAGCGCGGCACCGGCTACGACCCCCAGATTCCGCTGCAGAGCCGGCTTTGTGCGTAGGAGGCACACAAAGAAAGGTGATTCAGGCAGACATTATTCAAAAGCTACTTCGCCACGTAACTCTTGCCGTGTAACCATTGAATAATGTTCAGGAAAGCTTTGGGCTTTTATTTTTGTTTAAGTTTTACTCCTTGTATTTAAGTTTTTAAATAACAAGGTCACTAAAACTCATGCACGCTGCAAAAAACCTCATGCAGTAGTTAAGGTAAACCATCCAAGCAGTTTTTATTCATTAATATTCATAAATACACACAGCAGCTTCATTAAGAGATTTCAATTTTCCTCTTCAGTTTGAATGTGGAGTATTAGGAGAGCCTTCTGCATGTCAAGGTACAGGGAGCAGAGATCACCCCTGCACTGCTACCTACATTTACCTGCTAGAAGTAAAAATTAGTTAAGTGGAAATGATTATCATATATATTTTCTCTCTTCCTTTGAATGTACACAATGTAACAAGAGTGACAGACCTGAAGTTACAATCACCAAACAAACCCAAGATAGCTGTTGTCCACTTTCATTGGCAAATACAGCACAGAGGACATTGTCTGCGAATTGGGATGTCATCAAAGAGGAGGTGGTGGAGGCTCATTTCCTTTATTACTCTCTTTTAAATTTAGGTTTTCTAAAGCAACATCTAAAGGCATAATATCTACACAGCCCATAGCACCGAAATCTGCCATCTCCCCCCGTTCATCCTCGTCGGAGGACGAGCTCTCCTCGCGCACCAGAGTGGACAGGAGGAGCTCTTGGACAAACAGGCTGCGGTCCGCGCGCTCGCTCTCCATGGACTGGCGCTCCGTTTCCGACATTTTAGGATCGTTCAACCTGCGTGAGATACAAAAGACACGATCTTTATAGGTAAAACGTCAGCGAACGAGTGTAGGGTCCATCTCGACCACTTCTTCCAGCGTGCCAGCTTTTAGGTGGCAGAACTCAGAGTCTGAGACATAACTGCTGAAACCCTTCGCTCTAATTTATCACCTTCACTATGCTGAGGTGAATTCCCCACACTTGCAGCAACCCTGTTACCCTGAGGTGCAAATCTATGCTTTAATTCAATTCAGTGAGAAAAAATACACAGACTTCTCACGCTCCCTCTGGATAAAGTGGCGGTGAGCACTTTCCTGAGGAAACCAAGATTTCCAATAGGTAGTGTTGCTTGAGGGAGTAGTGAGTTCCTAACCGGAATTTTACCTGTGGGCAGTAACACAAAAACTAGTGACTGGAATATTCGGCTGAAAAAAACCTTAAAAGTACCCTTGACTTTTCTCTAATACTTCCATCTAATCCTTCCTAAAATATGAAGATATCTCCTGAAGGGTGAGAGGGCAGGAACACACACACACGCGCGCGCGCGTGCGCGCACATGCCCCCCGCCCCCCACCCGCCCCTTCTACCCAGGACTGAGCAGCAGGGCAGAGCCGGGTACGCTCATCTGATAGATGACTTAGGGGCTCTGCACCAACTGGGAAACCTGGTTCATCTGCACGGACACCGGACAGACGTTAAGAGTTGAATTCTTATTACTCATCTGATTAATGACTTATGTGAAGTTCTGCTTAGTTTCAGTATTTACTTTATTTCTTTACATTTGTAGTGTCAAAAAAAGAAAGGGAGGGAACCTGGGTGGCTCCGCTGGTTAAGCATCCAACTCGATTTTGGGTCAAGTCATGATCTCATGGTTCATGAGATCAAGCCTGCTTGGGGTTCTCTCTCTCCTCTCTCTCTGCCTCTCCCCAGCTCACACACACACTCTTGTTCTCTAACTAACTAAATAAACTAAAAAAAAAAGGGGGGGTGGAGAAAGAAATGGCAAGTAGCTGGAGTGCTGGGGTGAGGACAAGTAACCAACAGGGAGAAGACCGTGAGAGTGCAAGGGTGCCCAGCAGGCGTGCATGACAGGTGCCTCTCCCAGAGAGCCCATGCTCCTCTGCGGACAGGCACCTGCTCTCTGCTGTCCTACCTATGCTGAAAGTGATAATACATACTGGGCCTTTACTATGGGTCAAACTCTGTCCTAAGTGCTTTTTGCATGTTATTATCTCTTTTAACTCCTATCAGTTAGGTCGTATTATTAACATTTTACAGGAAGAGGAAACTGAAGCAGAGGTTAAGTGACATGCTCAAAATCTCACAGCTGCCGATTTCAAAACCACTGAATGATTAGATCTGTGACTCAGACAAATGAAAAGATCTAAATTTCAGAACTTAAAGACAACAAAAAGATCTGGAAAGAAATTATAGAAAAGTCATTAAACCCTGTACTGAAAGGAAGTGACTGGTGCTAGCACTACCTGCACATGACCGATAGGTCATAGTGAGCAAACCAGAGACATACAGGCTGAGGTCCCCAACCCTTTGGAAAGCATGGAATTGAACAGTACTTTTTTTTTTTTTAAGACTCTCCAATGTGGGGTTTGAACTCAAGACCCCAGAGTCGCATGCTCTAGCGACTGAGCCAGCCAGGTGCCCTGTATTATTACTGTTTTTGTTTTTAGGAAATAACTGAGAAAATATTTCATTCCTAAAAGGTAGATAAAATCTGGTACCAGGGCTAGAGCTCCTAATGTGCCCAACTTCATTTGGAATCTACAAGTAACTGCAAAGCTTGTGAAGATCTTCAAACTGGGAGGTAGCCAAACTAGCTGACTCCATTACCAAAAACACTGACATCTGACATAAGCACTGTGACAATCATTTTCTAGAAGACCAACAATTTGGATCCCAAGGCAACGGTTTCCCCACGATGAGTTCCAGGGTAACACGAACAGGAACTATCCCTGGCTAAAGAGGCCAAAGATAAGGCTTGGCCCCATGTAGATCATGTAACAGCTTTGTGACAAGAGACCAGGCTTTTTCTTTGGAAATACTACAGCCTTGAAGCTCTCTTCCCCTTAAAGAGTCATAATGCGTATTCATTTATTTAAAGTTCTGAGAAGCCCAACAATAAACAAACTACTTTTGTTATACAGTTATGCCCAAAACTGTTCGTCAGGAAAAAAAAAAGTTGAACCTAAGTAACTCTACATGTTCTTTAGAATATATAAAGTTCCAACTAACATTTTTTTTGGAAATATTGCCTAAGATAAATCTATGAGTCAGGATCGAAGGATGCAGTGAAAAGTGGGAGAAGTGGTCTGCAAGGTACTGTGCAAGGTACTATATCAGACGACAGAAGGGGCTCTTCAAGCAGCTATGACCAGAATCCAAGGAAGGCCACTCAAAGGCCACCCACCCCATGCTCTGGGAGCTGGGTGTCTGGTGAAGAAGAACTACAGAGAGAAAGTCCCAAATCAAGGCCACTGAGTTTCGGACTAAAGAAAAAGAATGGGCCGAGGGTCAAAGGTGAGAAGATGTCTTTTCCAAAGACATTCATCCCACCCAGAGTCAGTGAACTCTCAGTGGATACACACATTGTTAGGTCCCCTACTTGAGGAAGTATCTAGATGTGCCAGGCTGGAAGATCCAACAAGAAAGCTACATAGCAGCTTGGATCATCTGTGGCTCTGTGGTTTACGCTGAAGCAACATTTCTGGTAATAACCAAGCACAGTTACTGACTTTGCAGAGATAATCCAAAGGTAAATTCCCCCACTTAAAACTTCCTCTTTAGGCCCCTAACAAATGAGAATAATGGGAACCATTAATTGGGCCTTTATTATATGTCAGATACTCAGCTAGACCATATATATATACTGATACTCCATTTCATCCTCAAAATGATTCTCTTTCTCATGAGGTAAAACTCATAGGCTATTGATGATAAAATTGAGGTTTAGAGAAGTGAAATGATTTGCCAAAGGCAAATCTGAGGCTCTAGACGGGTTCGTAATCATTTTTATTCTGCATCTACAATATATTATTTATAACTATGCACACGTGCCACTGTACCAACAGCAATATTTAAAAGTATGATATAAATGAAATATGCAGAGAGTTAATATTGTCTTTTAGCATCAGTTTAGAGATAACTGATATATTATGCTAATTTTCTCCCTCACTTTCCAGTTTTTACTTTATACTCCTCTGTGCTCCATTAAAGGCCCAGATTAGTCCAGGCTCATTGCCTGCTGAGCCTAAGTCTACTCATCACTATTCTTTCTAAAATTCCTTATATTCTTAAAAGTCACATAAAATGCCAATAGGCTTGGGAGAAGATTATGTTCAGTTGCTGATGGTAATTTTCAGAAGCAGGTAAGAACTCTATTCCATCCAGCAAAACCATTTCCTGGGCATACTGTCTATTTTTTACATCATGGTAAAGATTTTTTTTTTTTAAACTGTCACTTTTGTTTGTGCTAATGACTTCAGGAATTTAAATCCTGCTTCTTTAGAAATTCTCAGAAGAAAACCACTATGTTGTGAAATCCTCTCCTGTACCTTTTATATTTCGTAGCTGACTGAAATTGGCAATAAAAAGAAAGCAATGTTCATTACGATAATAAATATACCTAATATGTCCCCTAAATGTAATGACATGGTGTTTATGGGCAAAATAGGGGGACAAAATTCAGATTAGATGATAATTTACTGTGGGAACGAGACCACTAGCACTTCTGCGTTAACCACTATTTTTCATATTCTTGGGGAAATACTGAATATGCAGTTTTGCTTAGAAATCTGAGTTTTAAGGGTCTGATCAAACAGCCTTTAGGAACACGGACAACGCACAGAAAAGATCATTTCGGATCACATGGTGCTAATAAAACACTGCTTCTCAAAGTCGTACAGACAAATGAACTACCTTGTTAAAAGAAACTGGGAATTCTGGACAGTCTGCGGACTGCTCTCCGTGTTAGCTGTGTTGGTCGTCGCCGTGGACTGCGTGATCGTGGTGGTGACGCTGCTCGTGTTGGCGCGCCGGGTGGCGTTGCGGGCGGTCTCCAGCTGCTGCCGCGCCGCCTGGGCATGCTGCCGTTCCAGCTGCAGCTGCATCTGCAGCTGCTGTAACTGCGACGCAGAAGGGCCCGAAGAGTTAAGCTGTCCTCCTGCAGAACGCCTCACTCCTGACAGCTGAGATAGCAGCTCTGCCAATGGAAAAGAAGGGGGTTAACGTCTCCTTAGACGCCGTGGAATAAAATGCTGAGGAGCCCTCTTTTAGAGGAACATTAAAAACGATGGGCAACAGGCAGGTATCCATAGCAACATAAAGTTCAGCTGGTAGCTCAGCACCTTTTCTTTTATTAAAGATTTTATTTGTTAAGTAATCTCTACACTCAACATGGGGCTTGAATTTACAATCCCAAGGCCAAGAGTCCGATGCTCTGCTGACGGAGTCAGCCAGGCACCCCTCAGTATCTTTCAGGAGGCCTCCAGGAGGTAGGAGCTTTGTGCATGGGGAATGCAGATACATGAATATTAGCCCATATAAAATCATTTTTAAGTAGAACATAGTCGATCACCTGCTGGTCCAATCATAATATAAACCTTCTCCAACACAAGCTCCATGAAAGGAGGGATCAAGTCTACCATTTATGCGATTCCAGCTCCTAGAACAGTGCCTAGCACATAGTAGGTCTCAAACGTTTACTCAATGACTGAATGATGATCAGAATTACATCCAAGAGGCCTGGATCATTCCTATCTGTGACCCTTGCACCACTCACCTTTGCCTTCTCTCTGGCACTTTCTGGTACTGTCATTTGAGAGTTGCAGAATACCACGGGACTATCACTGGTGATGCCCAGTAAGGCTAACTGGCTCCTGACTGTACAGCCTAGTTGGTGGCCTGTTACAATCCAGACTCTCTTGTTTCGATAAGGTTGAACTCATCAAGAGCAATGTGGACCTCTGTCCCTGAGTTCTCATCTGAGTAAGGTGCAGGAAATGCCTTGTCCCATGTGAGAGCTTTACCTAGCTTATGTGGAATTACATGGAACTGTCTGCCTTGCAGACATTCCCAGGCTAGCAAATAGCTCTTCGTCGTTAAAACTCATTAACAGGGTAATTTCTGTTTCCTCGCTCACTGTTGTTTTATCCCACAGGTTCTTACACCTGTCTTTCATATAGCCTATGACTAAAATAAACTAATTTTCACTGACAGAAAAAAAAAACTGAATGGAAAGAACTTCTCACTTTTGAATTTTGCTTCTAGAAATGAACTTTTACATCCTGCAAACAAAGACAGCAGGTAAATATTCCCTCTGGATGAAGAAACATTTTTTAAAATCCCCCAAACTCAATGTACAGGGTTTATTGCACATCCAAATGCCCAACGCACATTTGGAATTAACAGGTTATGTCTGTAGGCTGGTACATTTTTAAGAGTGTTTTATGAGTAAAACTGTTCCTAGTCTGTACCCCAGGTTCACACTTACCGGGGTCCCAGGGTGCTCTGCAGGGTGCATCACGATTTCCAGGCGCACAGTCCACCATGTGCACACATTTCAGAACTTGTACAGGCTTCCCAGAGTCTTACCTTAGCCTGTTTGTGTCTCGTGTGTCTTACTTCTACGGCTACTGTGATTTCTGACATTATACTTTGACCTCCAACCTCTTTGCTCTGTTGCTGGCTTCTCAATACAGGTTGGCCATGTACTAGACCATGTACTAGACGTGGCTATGAACTACATATACAAATGTTGTCATTTGTTTAAATAAGATTTTCTTAAGCTATTAAAATATGTACTTTTCAGTAAGTTCCCTAAGAATACAGTTCTCAAATCAAGGCAAGAACAGAGAAGACTCCTACTTTACTTTCTTCTATGAAAAGAGCTGAATTCTTCAGTCTTGTCAATTAGTTTTATTATCTGTGTGCTTGTGGAGGTTAAACCATGGGAACTCTGAAAGTCTTCGACTCTGAAATCTTTGATCATTTTCTTGGATTTCAAAAGAGGCCACAAATAAAGCCCGGAGACATTTCGTATTACCTTCTAAGTACTTACAGAAATGTCAGAATAATACAAACTATGTTGCCCACTTTTAAAGTATTTATACTAATAAAATTGGGGGAATTCTGTGAAGGAATACAGGAGCATGATGAGAGACTAAGAACATAAATTCCACCAAAACATTTCAAAAGAATGGCCTCCCTGGCCATTTCTTTTATTAACGGGAAACTAACTTACCAGCTATAGGATCCATGGCCTCCCTATTGCTTGGAGAATATGAACTCTGAGAGGAAGAAAGTCCACCAGTAGAACTGCTAGTAAAGTGCATGTTTGATCTACGAGCACGAGGACCTCCTAGTCCCCGGCCAGGGTGAAACATTCTACGTACATGTCGAACACCACTCGATTCATCGTAACTCCAAAGTTAAGAAAAGAACCCAAGTATTTCACAGAAAGAAAAAAAAATCACTCAAGCCCTTGTTAGACACGCAGATTTCCTAAATTGTAAGCATTTAAAAATAGCACATTTCATTTAGAATGCGAAGATCCCAGCCATATCTACAAGGGCTATTACCACTAAAAAAAGATACACAAATATAAAGCAACATGTGAGTATGTGTATAGTGTGTGTGTGTGTGTGTGTGTGTGTGTGTGTGTGTGTGTGTTTTCAAAGGGGAAAGATGTTTTTCCAGATAGGAAGAAATTTCTTCCTAGGCTCCAGCAACAATAACTAGATGGGGTGAAAGGTGCCGTTGGGTCAGACACCCAAGGCATTGCCTTACCCTGACCTCAGGGCTGAATTTCATACATGTTCATACTGAAGTAACCAGAATTAATAAGCATCAATTTTTATATCTGAGGACAGCTATGCTAATCAAATCTCAATTATCATCTGTAATGAGAAAAGAATGGTATGAGCAATTTTATTTAATTTTCTTTTACAGTTTTAAAGTTTTATTCACTTAAGTAATCTCTACACCCAACGTGGGGCTCGAACTCACCACCTCAAGATCAAGAGTCACATGCTCTCTCACTGAGCCAGCCAGGTGCCCCCAGTATGAATACTTTCAATTCAGGAGAAAAATATTCCTTTTGGTTATTAGTTTTAATCTGTCTTCAAGTTGTTTTTTAATGCTGCTGCTAAACTGAAAACCAGATTTGAATTTTTTAATAGAAGTGGACAGAGAGAGAGTAATCCCACATTTACCAAGAAGTCAAATTCCCAGGGGCGCTTGGCTGGCTGTTAGAGATTACTTAAAAAAAAAAAAAAGTCAAATCTAGCAGCCTCACCCATCTTCTATAGCTGACTCAAAGTAAAGAAGGTCCTGAGTAGTGAACCGCAGCCCAAACTCATGAAGACAGCCTTGTGTTTCCACGCAGGCAAATGTATGGGTAAAGCATAGTAAGAGAGACTTTTTTTTCAAAGCAGTACACGGAACAGCTATATGGTACAGAATGACTTTTTAAAAAAGACATTTATTTATTTTTGAGAGACAGAGAGAGAGAGAGCACGCAAGACAGGGAGGGGCAGAAAGGGGATGGGGCACAGAGGATCTTAAGTGGGCTCTATGATAACAGCAGAAAGCCTGATGCAGGAGCCAAACTCATGATTCATGAGATCATGACCTGATCCGAAGTCCAGACGCTTAACCGACTAAGCCACCCAGGTACCCTGGCACAGAATAACTTTGCTGGCTTCCCAGTTTTCAGCTGATGATTTTGGAGTGACTTAGGGATAGGATGAGTGGTTACATGAAGCCCTCAGGTGCCACTAAAATATGTACTGTTTCATCATGGCATTCATGATAATGGTTTGGGTTCTACAGAAAATGATGTTATGATCATTGTATTTTGTTTTAAAAAGGGATCTGGGCATAAAAAGTACACTTTAGGAAGGTTCCATCGAAACAGCAAAAAAAAAAAAAAAAAAAAAAAAAGTTCTGGTGCTTATGAGGCTTGGAGAGAAGCCATTCCCTCATGACAAAGTCACCACACAGCAGCACTTGAAGTACCTGAAAAATCAGTGGGTTTCCAGGATAACTGCAATGTCAAAATTTTGTTTTCCAGAGCTTAATGGCAATACTTGTTAGGCATCTAAAATGCAACATGTGCCTCCTCTTATTCTTATATTTTGCATAATTTAATCTTCTCTTGATAACCAGAGACATAAAAATCTCACAAAAATAGATGTAGATGACATGGGACATCCTACTGAATCAATACTCCTTTTACTACAGGCCCCTGAACTTGCTGAACAAGTTCAGGATCAGGAGAAGCTTGGCTTTAAATTACTTGTCTTACTTCTCCACGAAGATGGAACAAACAGGGATCAAGCATAACCCTGCTCAGTATTGTTATAAGATTCTTCCACATAAAATGTGAAGTGACTCAAAGACTTAAGTATTCTTGGCCTATTCGGGTTTTCTTATTCTCTTTAAGAAAAAAAAAAATTCACAGCTTTCATTACACTTTCAGGGTCCTCAGCCCTTAAGAGAGAGGAAAAGTGGTTTCTTCTGTTCAACGACTACTAGACCCTTGACTGGTTCAGGTCTGGCTGACGTTCTAATTTCTTAGGTTGGGTCCATATCTTTATATTTCCTTTAGTTTTCTTATCTTCCCCTAACTCTGAAGGGCCATGCTGCCAATTAGAAAACTGGGAACCGTGAGCAAGGGATGGGAGCTGGGGGACAAGAAAATCATCAAACCAGTTTCTTCCTCAGTAGGACTAAGGCTGAATTATGAATGCTGGGAGGCAATCAAAGAAATCAGAATAAAGTCTGGCAAAGAGAAAAGTTGTGATTAGCTCTTGAATTACTTCGAACTGTAATGAACACTGAAACCTTTACATGAAAATGGACCCCTAAGTTAATAGGTGATAGTTTTAGAAAAACAATTCATAACTCGAAATAAGAAGCACACAGTGTACAAAATTAATTACTCTGGTGGGCCGTTCATCTCTTGAAGATCCCAGGGAACATCGCTAGCAACTGCTGAGAGTCAGACTTGCAAAAGGGAAGCAGAAAGGAAAGTGGGAAAGGACTGCAGAGCTGGCCCTGACCTTGTGCTACCCTATTCAGAGACGGGGCGGGGAATGGCTATCTCTGGAGAAGGGACTCCCAAAGGGAAAGGAGCCCCATCATGCACCCCTGCTCATCACCCCCCCTAGAACAGGGTAAGGCAACAGAGAACATAGAGGGGAAGCAAATCAATTCTCCTTATATTTCATTAGATTTTAATTTGGATTAGCATTTTCCTCTTTTGCATGAAAACACCCTGCTGAAGACTCATCACCTGGTCAAACGGTCTTAAGGAAATCTGACCGTAATGAAGTGAAGATGGGCAAGGCAACTTTTACTTAGTGAGTGCTGTTCATGTGACACGCACAGCACGTAACAAGAGAAATAAATTGCATCTCAACACGGAGTCACTTTTAAGAAAGGGCAAATAAACTAAAATAATTTGGAAGTTAGCTTATCTCTTTGGGTATATTGTCCTTAAACATAATCAAAATGACACACATTACAAACAACTCTATCCCTTCTTGCCTCTTAAAAGGATATTAAATCTCTAGGGGCTCTGTGTTCAAGTGTAAGATGAGCTGCAAAGTCATCCGTGACATGATTAGGATCGCCTCCAGGTAATGCTGCACATATTGGACAAATCTGAAATGAAAGTAAAGAAAGCAGATTTAATAGATGGATAATGATCAGACATCTTTTGGATGAATATTTTACTATAACTGAGTTTTAACCAGGCAAAAACACAATAGAGATCCTTAACTAGTAAACAGCAACGGAAGCCTCAATATGAACTACGGCACATCCACGCTGTTGCTTACAACTACAACACATAACCTCTCAGGGTCAGACACAACGGTTTTAGACAAAGAGCTCAAACTCGAGCTCTGGTAAAGCCTTCTAACAGCCTGGCTGGCTCATTTGCATGGTCTAACAAAACACTTGCCATAAAAACAATTTTTTTAAAGATGTGCTATTTAATTAGTGCACATTCACATCTGACCAAGTCTGGTCTTAAATGGTAAAGATGGAGACATAAGCTAGATTTGGGAGCCAATCTCCAAATATGACAGCAAAGCTCTTATTAAAATACCACCATACAAGCTCATATATTAAGACAGTGATTACTGATAATATGCAAATATGCTCTATAAATTCATGAATAGGAATTCCAAGGGAAAATGGGGATGGGAGCCCATGTTTAGAACTTTATCTTCCAGAGGAATGGGAGGTGGAATAAAAGCTTGTGATCAGGTTAAGGTCAAGGAGTAGAAGACCAACTTCTCATGAGCCTTAGAGCAAGAGATAGGTGTGTGCATATGCAGAGCTCAGGGGAGCTTTCATAGGATGGAAATGTAGTGTCTGAAGCAGTAGTTTCAAGAGAAGTGGAGACACAGGAAGAAGAGGGGAAGGATCAAAAGAAAGGAACTATGAGAGGAAAGGCCCCTTCTCTTCCAGAAATCCAAATGGGTAAACGATGATCTAGGAGTGGAAGCCAAGCCTTAAGGTATAAAGAACCTCAGAGCTAAAGAACAGAGCAGAGCAGAAAGGTCTGAAGCAAAGGAGCACAGCCAAAGGGAGCCCCCGGACGTGTACAGAGCTTTAGGCTTGTAGCTCTCTAGGGATAAAAGAGCTGAGGCTAGGACATGTGATTCATCTTGCCAATACATGTGTTGTGTCCCTAAATTCTTTCACCTGGAGTAAAATGCAGGCACTCGGTTGACCCTGCTGCCCGCTCGCGGTGGAGTGGAAGAAGAGACGGAGAGGCAGGGGCAAGGCAAAACTTGGAAGGCTGATACTGGGATACAGACGGGAAAATGAACTATCTGCTTCCCAGAGCCTCAGCCAACACAAATCACCGTCTTCTCACGACTACAAAGCAGAAGTCCCCTGAGAGTCTGACTGATTTGATCCCAGTTCCTCTCAGCTGTCCTGATTATATCTGCCTCAGGAGTCTGAGAAATATCCTCAAGAAAACCTTAAGATGCTTATGAGAAATAACATTTAAGTAGGACAGTGTACAAATGAAGAAGGGAGGTCATATAGGAACGTGCCTGCAAGGAAATGAAGAAAGCAGAAGATAAACATGTGCATGCCTTTCTTAGAAGGTGCCAGGAAGCTGGTCAGAGAGAAAAGCAATTGTATCTGTTCATAAGTTTATAGATGATCACTCTCCTCCCCAGGAATTTAGGTTTCCTGTCTATATCGTTCCTGTACTATGATACTGCCAGGCAGCGTCTGCTGTACTTATTTTACTTTTTGTGTGTTTCTGTCTCATCTGGCTAGTCAACAGTTTTGAGAAATGCAGGACAGTGTGATTTGGCTGTTGTTTGGGAACTGTGACCAGACTTGCTTAAAGCAAAAAGACGAACAGGTTTGGAGAAGCAGAAACAACCTCCAGTTTAAAAACTCAAACAAACAAGCCAGCTTAGATATTTTTGAGTCTCTCGGTTTTGCAACAATTTAACAGGTGCCGGACTATGTAGAGCTTTAGCACAATACCACAAGATTACATGTAAAGATTTTTATCCCAAGGAAAAATAACCATCATGAGGAAAGGGTATCTTCCTTCTAAGATATTTCCTTCAGACTGGCCTTTGGACAAAGTCTATGCACAACTTGAACTACACAAAGATAACTGTAGAAGTTTCAGTACTTTGAGGACACACGTAAATGTCCTTGGATGAGAAAAGTATCCTTGAGAATATGCATCCCTGGAAGGAAGACAAGATGGGAAAGTACAGATATCAAATGTACTAAGAATGTCCTCACAGGACCAATAGTCTCCTATAAATGAGAAAAGCACCTATGAGATGTCCCGGGATGTAGAATACTGCTTAATTCTGAGTGTGTCTTTACTTCCACAAGATGACACCTAATACGTTGCAGAGGGCAGGAAAATTCCACACAAAGGATATGCTATTAACGTTAAAATACGAGTCTGTCAACATTAATATATCATACTTCTATTGCCACATGATATAGTAACATCTATTATTTGAACAAGGAAATTCCACGTAACACATTAGCTTAACGCAATGACAACTTTGCCAATGTTCAGGCATACTGAATTGGCATAACTCAGTGTTTCCTGAAATCGACTGAGGATATAATTCATCTGGAGTATTTGGTAAAAGCACAATTCCCTAGGCCCCTGCCTTGAAACTGATTGTAGGAGATTTGAAAATCTGTTTTTGACAAGGGTCCCAATTACCTTATAATTAGAGAAGTTTGGCGAATACAGCTTAAATATACAATGGTATTGAAAAATAATAAATATTTACCCTGTGGAATGAAACATGAAATGTTGTATTTACTATCTCCGTGCTCAAAAATTTTTAAATGTTTTTATTTATTTTTGAGAGAGAGACACAGAATCTGAGGCAGGTTCCAGGCTCTGAGCTGTCAGCACAGAGCCCGATGTGGGTCTCGAACTCATGAACTGTGAAATCATGACCTGAGCCGAAGTCGGATGCTTAACGGACTGAGCCACCCAGGCACCCACCCCTTGCTCAAATTGTTAATCACAAATATCCTTGCTATTTATTCTGTCTTGTCTTTGCTGTTGTTTGAGTCTTTCCCTTCTGCCTCATCTTACTACTGAGGCTCACCATCAGTCCTGCGTTTTATCTGCAGCCCTTTGGACACCTTTATCCATGTACTGAGATGAAATCCCATGCCAATAACACACTGGAGTTTTCCACTTTCCATGTAGTCCCAGTGCATGACTGCCAGCGAGCAACCCCACTCAGTGTGGATTCTTAACACAGGTGGCTACCATACCTTCTGAAGTCATTATTTCACATACATCAGATCACTACTAACATTTATAGAACATTTTTCCCTGTGACAGATTATGTCCATTAAAAAAATAACCTACAATCAGCATGCTTGGTTTTTATTTTTTAAAAATCATTTTATTTAAGGGCACCTGGGTGGCTCAGTTGGTTGGGCATCCAACTTCGGCTCAGGTCAAGATCTCACTGTTCGTGGGTCTGAACCCTGTGTCGGGCTCTGTGCTGACAGCTCAGAGGCTGGAGCCTGCTTTGGATTCTGTGTTTCCCTCTCTCTCTGCCCCTCCCCTGCTCACACTCTGTCTCTGTCTCAAAAAAATAAACATTAAAAAATTATTTATTTTATTTTACTTTATTTTAGAGAGGGAGCATGTGAGTAGAGGAGAGGGTATGAGGGAGAGAAAAAATTTTAAGGGGGGGCTCCACGTTCAGTGCAGAGTCCAACAAGGGGCTCCATTCCATGACCCTGGGATCATGACCTGAGCCAAATTCAAGAGTCAGATACTCAAATCAACTGAGCCACTCAGGTGCCCGTATGTTTTGTTTTTAAACTAGGACTCCACACATTCTTCCCTATACAATCACCAACTGGACTAAAACCAAGTTCAGATTTCCTCCAGCCTCTTTCCTGAGCTCATACACCAACACTGGCGGGCATTCTCTCTCTGGCTACTATGTAGCACTTCAAAAACAACCACAGAGGAGTTAAGTTCTCATGAAGCAGTGAGCTCTTCTTCATTGTTTTTTTTTTTTTTTTTTGGATAGGCTTCATAAACAAATTTCTTGGCCATTTTGTTCACTGCTCCAGAAAATGTGTTTTAAAAAACTGTCTATCTGATCCAGCATATAACCTGGCTTTACCTGAAGCTACTAGACCACAACACTACAGAGAGACCGGTCTTGCACCAAAATCATTCAACAGATGCTGAGAGCTAGGCTGGTTCTCTACCATGAGGCTGACCCACTTTGAAGCATCATCCTCTCTGACCACTTAAAACTGCCCTTGAACTCCAATTCTGGGGCACTAATGCTTTTGTTAACAGTAAACAGGTTTTATTTTGTTTTTGTTTTGTTTTGTTTTGTTTTCATTTATCTATCTATCTATCTATCTATCTATCTATCTATCTATCTATCTATCGAGAGTGAAAGAGGGAGAGAGAATATGAGCCAGGGAGGGGACATTTACAAAAATAGCTTCTTTTTAAGACAGGGTCGTCTTTTTTTTTTTTTTTTTTTAAATGTGTAGGTTATATGAATTTAAAAGAAAACATGTAAACAAAGCCTTGTGAGTGCTGTTTCAGATACAGGCACCTTCTGGGACTGTAATAAACACGGTTTCTCTTGTGTTACTCTTTACAACTGCATCTGATTTCCAGTTAAAGATCTAAGCCAGGAAGTCCAGGTGGGCTAATAAAGTTAATGTAAGTTCTCACCAGTCAAATTTGTTACACTATAATTTTGTTACTATGGCTTAACTAATTCATTAAGTATTTACTGAGGGACAACCCAGTGTTCACTTAATATCCTGGGTTATAAAAATATTAAGTAATGAAGACAGTGAAATTACGAAGCAGTGAACAATGGTGAACCTGCCACCATTCAAGTTCATATGAATTTCATCTCTCTCTTTTTTTGAGTTTCATCTCTTAAAAATTGGGAGGTAGGGGCGCCTGGGTGGCTTAGTCGGTTAAGCGTCCGACTTTCACTTAGGTCATGATCTCGCGGTTCGTGGGTTCGAGCCCCGCGTCGGGCTCTGTGCTGACTGCCAGCTCAGAGCCTGGAGCCTGTTTCAGACAGTGACTCCCTCTCTCTCTGACCCTCCCCTGCTCACGCTGTCTCTCTCTCTCTCTC